ATTATGAAAACAGTTGCTATTGTCTGTCAGTATTTTGTTTATTCTAACACCTTATTTATAAAAATTAGTTGTTCAGTTAAATGTATTCGGTAAATTAATCTTCACAACTCCATACTGATAGTTACCATGTGTTCACTAGTGACTAGATTCGTGAGGGAATTCTCGGAGTTCTAGGGAGAAGCCGTGACCAGTGGAGCCAATACATGTCAGGTGAACACAGGTATCTAACTCAGTAAGATGAAAGATGGTCGCGCAATTTCGTGGGTTGATTGAGGTTAGACATAAACACCGTTGGATACCGGCTCAATGGTCTAGAGGTTAAGCCGATTATTCTGGTTTCGTATCTCGTGGGTAGGATCACGAGTGCGCACTGCTGAGGAGTCTTATACTAGGACGAAACGGCTGTCCAGTGCTTTCAGGTTTCCAATGGTTGTCTAACATCAATCGATTCATGATCTCAATATTACAGATTTATATATTATTTAACATTAATTCACTAAAACATGATGAATTTTATGTAGTGATATTAATTAGTCTAAAATATGAGTAGAAATTACTTTCCACATGCAACTAAATGACGTATACGAACTAATTAGTACCAAATAGTTAATGGTTTCAAGAAAGCTCATTAATATATAGCATGAAATATATTTCTTATTACTTACTTATTAGTTAACCAAATTGTAAAATTTCATCTTCAAAATATACTGTATTATTCAAATAAACGATTCATTTTACTTGTAGTGAACAAGAACACCAGTTGGGGACAACCAAATGTATTTGAGCATAAAATTATAGAATGTTTTACTAACACCTTGGAACCATACAGTAATTACATCATTTACAAAATGTCACCCTATTGTCTTAGATTTGACTGTTCTTTCGTTTCCATACCAATCATTCTGTTCTCGTTCTCTTCTATTTAATTTTCTCAACCATCTGGCTCCAGGTATTTCACTTTCCATTAGTGGTATATGCTACTGATATCTGTTGACATCAGTAGCACACACTACAGATCATTTAATCGATAATTAAAGTTTTTCGTTCCACGTCTAGTAAATTTGGTTATTATGTAATAATCATTGAATAACTTTCACATAATCACACATACTAACTAACTATAACTTCTGGGGTTTTAATCAGAATTATTTTATTGTTTAACATAATGAAAAATCTTTATTTGAAATGTCATATGATAGACTAGTATAAGCAAACAATAAATATCCAAATATTTGAAGCTTTTGAAATATACGAATGTTTTTGCTTGCAATCAGAACTAACAAGCATTCTTTGTATTCTCCCTATCAAGATTTCGAGAAATAATTGCTCAGTTGAGTAGGTCATATAACTTATTGATTTACTGAAGAAACCCGAAAATGATAAACTGTCAACAAAAAGGGATGAATCTTATGTAAATCAAAGTTATTAACCAACCAGTCTGATAGGTTCTGGGTTCGAATCTTGCGATGCGGGATCGTGGATATGTATTGCTCAGGAGTCCCACAGTAGGACGAAACGGCCTTTTAGTGCTTCCAGGTTTTCTATGGTGGTCTAGTTTCAATTGACTCATGATCTCAACTATTGCAAAAAGTTACTATAATATCCACAAAACCCTCTTTAAGAAAAAATTCTTGAAACAGTTCGCTTCTTTAAGAAGCTTTGATAACTTAATTTTTAAAAGAATACGGAGTTGGTTTCAATAATCTGGTACATTTGTAAAATGAATTTGGAACAACTGTATCACATGGGGTTAGCGACCCCATCGCTTAAATAACTAACTGGCTAAAAAAGACGCTAACCAAGTATAACATATTCACATATCAAACTATTTTAATTCAAATATAGAAAATCTCAATTAGACAAAGGTTTCCAACTTGTGAAAATGATAACTAAAAGTGTACAAGAGAGTAGAGAAAAAGTAGTGAAAAAATATGGAAGTTTTCACATTATACTACCCATTCTAAATAAGGTAAATTACTGAAACATATCGTGAGATTGAATTTAACTTAGCTTATTAATACTCATGTGGTGTAGGTTAATTATATCCACACAAGTAGTATATAACGGTGATCAGGCGTAGAATGTATTTCAGTAGAAGGTCGATGAGGAAAGAACGGGAACGGAAAGCAATTGGTATAAAAACGCATGAACAATAAAATCTGAGAAAATGGATTGATGTTAGCGACTGGGACGGTCAGGTTTGAGATGATCGATTAATATTTTGCAAATTAACGATTTACCATATGGTTCTCAGATTTTGTTGAGATGCTCTGTAATTTCTTGTCAAATACATTCGATTGTCCCCACTGGTGTTCTGTTCACTACACTTATATAGATTTCCTATTAGAAATGTTTTTTTGATTTTATCGGAGGTTACTGAAAGTCCATTTAAGCTTCTCTTATTCATTCAGAAACAATCTTTCCTTATATCGAACCTCTGCTAATAAATACAATCCATTTTTAATACCAATGCTCGTGTTAAAGTTTATAATTTATGCATTGAGCGAACATGTCTCTTAATATAGATCAGCTTCGTCTTCTCATAACTATCAAATTGCATAATGAAGCAACGGCAGTTGCTTCTTTTTGATTTTTCACAACTTGATTCGTCTGACCATAACTTATTGAGTACCGTTATAGCACATCACTTACAATTAATTTTGTTGGCCGTTAATATTGTCAAGCCTTTCAATTAACTTATTTAATAGACACTGTTATTCAGTGACAAAATGTTTATTTCTTTGTATTGTTATTATTATGTGTGGTTGATAATAAGTGACAGTCTACGCCCATATTCCTCAATCTACCCTAAATATAGCTCGATGAATCATGCGTTTGAATCTTATTAATTGCTTCGCTTCGATTATATTCGATTTGACTCTGAATCCATCTCATTATTCGATTGCTTTCGCGCATTATCCTTTGCTCAATTTTCGCTCAATGTACCTGTAACTTTGTTATCTTTGCTATCCATTAATAAACTGTAGTCGGAGCTTCGTGTCGTCTACTGAATTCACCGTTGTAAGTCATTTATTAACGGTTATCAATGTGATTGATAGACAAAGCCTAAGGAATAATCTCAAAACCAAACAACTACAATGTATTTCTCAACTTTATAACCAACAGTAGATTAATTGACAATAGGAAATATGTTGTACATTATTATAAAATATGAAAAATATCATAGTAACTGACATTATGCTTTTTTGATATTAGTATAAAAATGAGCATAAATAAATGTCTGATTATATTTTATAGGATATATAGATTGAGACAGGCAATAGAATTCAAAACGTACATTCCCAACCTATTTGATACTTATACTTTATTTCAATGGTTAAGATCATGAGTCAGTTGAAGCTAGACCACCATGGAAAACCTGGAAGCACCTGGAAGCACAATCTCCATAAAACCCATCTGATATTGACCAACATATGCTCACTAGTGACTGGCTTCACGAGCTATATCCTGGAGTTCTAGTGAGAAGTAATGACCAGTGGAGTTCAACCAGGTCTGTTGTGAGATATTGCCTCACTGAAGACAATGGTGAATGTGTCGCTCAATTTCGTGGATTAATTGAAGTTAGACACTAACACCGTTGAATGCGAGCCGGCTCAGTGGTCTAGTGGTTAAGTGCTCGCGCGCGAAACCAGTAGGTCCTGGATTCGAATCTCACAGGGGGCGAGGTCGTGGATGCGCATTGCTAAGGAGTCCCCAAAAGGGACGAGACGACCGTCCAGTGCTTCCAGGTTTTCCATGATGATCTAGCTTCAACTGATTCATGATCTTAACCACTGAAATTACTACAATCTCCACAAAACCCATCTGATACTTATAATTTATATCCATGCTGGTATCGATCTTCATAGTGAAACTTCAAGTTAAACGTAACAAGTTCAATTCATTCCCTAATTTTAACACGTTTACTAATTGATTAGAGAAATATAATGGTTTCATAGCCAAAATACCATAAAAACCACATTTAATTTTCCGTAAGTGAAATTTTCTTTTTTGTACAATAATAAACCTAAAGAATCGATAAATACTTCTGATGAGTAGTGAATTCATTAAATTCAAGAAATTCTGTATGATTTCTTAAGTCTTTCTTTTTTTTAAAGTTGGGATTGAAATTTTATTTCTGGACAATATCGGATGAAATAGATTTAGTTTTGAAAGCTAATTGTTAATAACTCACATCCTAAAATATATTTGATTCAAGCAAAGATGGATAGTGGCTAGCAGTGGAATCTAGTAAGCGCGTGGACAAAACGCCACTATCCATCTTTGCTTATAATGCTTGTAAATTAAGGCAATATCAAGGCATACGCACAGTATGCACATATGCCAATAAGAGACTGATCAATTTCAGTCCTAAAACATCAATCGGAAGATTCAAGTAAAACAATACCAAGTGAATTATATTTGATTCATTCTTATGTTAGATATTTAGAGAGATAGTCGACAGGAAGCTCAAGTTATAGGCTTCTTTCTAGTATGTATTCGTCATGAAAACATATGCAATCATAAGAGAATGAATATTCCCGAATCTCTCAGCTTCAAATCTAAGATATTACTACTAACCTATTAGAGCTGTGATAGACACCCTGAAAATTTAAACTGTTTACACTGATCAATTATTGAGTATGAATCGAATTATTTAATAAATTATATTAGTTAATAGGTGTAGTGTACTTAACAACTGTCTTTATTTGAACTAGAATTGTTTTGTCAAAAAAATAGCCTTTGTAACTTACTCAACATTGCCTTAAATTTCAGTATCTATATGATTATAGTTGAATATACACAATAGAGTCATTCTTCAAATGAATTACGTGACGAAAGATATTGATCAATGCTTAATTCTCGTTTTGTAAAGTTAATAGCTAAGCTTGTGCCTAAAACTATTTAACTAGTTGCAAACATTTACACTCAATTCAATGTCATTATGCATATTAATGTTTGTTTGTTTGTTTTTGTAACTGAACATTTACTATTTTCAGATACAAGCTGTCGATGATGATGCTGGTGAAAATGGTACAATCATATATTTTATACATTCTGGTAACGATGACAATTATTTTATATTAGATCAAAATACTGGAACACTTAGTATCAATAAAAAAATTCCATATACTGCAATAGGTGAACATATTTTAAAGATAGAAGCAAGAGATTGTGGACAACCATATCATTTTACTATAACAGATTTCATTATAGAAATTGATGATTCCACTTCAAAAGCTTATTTATCTATGAATTATTATCATTTAAATAATGCTGATGAATTTAGTAGTTTTGGATCAAGTGGATATAAATTAAATTTTTATATTGTTATAGCTATTATTACATCCGCTTGTATTATATCAACTATTCTGATATGTTCAGTATTTATCATTTTACGTCGTTCTAAAAGAAATAATGTATCACATGATAGAAGTAATAAATAGACAATAATACACGTAATCATTGTACAACAAACATAACATATTCACCTTCAAACTGGTCAAAAATAGATCAATCACAGAATTATGATTTTTCTAGACCTTCTAATAGTTATCGAGGTAATGTTGAATGAATTTTTAACTTTCTTTCTTTCTTTCTTTCGAAACTTGATATTTCAGTAGTTGAGATCATGAGTCCATTGAAGCTAGACCACCATGGAAAACCTGAAAGCACTGAACGACCAACTCGCCCTAATGTGGGAATCCTCAGCAATGCGCTTCCACAATCCCGCCTCGCGAGACTCGAAATCAGGACCTATCAGTCTCGCTCTCGAGCACTTAACCACTAGACCACTAAGCCAGTCGGCATCAAATGATGTTAATGTCTAACTTCAACCAATCCACGAAATTGAGCGAAACATCCACCATTGTCATCAATGAGTTACTATCTCACAACCGACCGGGTTAAAATCCACTGGTCACTGCTTCTCACTATATCTCCAGGATATAGCTCATGAAGCCAATCACTAGTGATCATATGCGCATATATGAGCATATGCGCTCGCGCGCAAGTCTGATAGGTTCGTATCTCGCAAGGTGGGGTTGTGCATAAGCACTTCTGGGGAGTCCCACAATAGAACGAAACCGCCATCCAGTGCTTTCAGGTTTTCCATGGTAGTCTAGTTTCAATTGATTCATGATCTGAACTATTGAAATTACTTCAATCTCCACAAAACCCTTCTGAAACTTGACTGTCTTTTTTTTATAACTACTTGTAAACTAAAAGAGATTGATTAATTATATCGGTTGATATACATACTACTTTTTGGTGAGATCAGGCTATCGGATGGATTAGATGATATTGTACTGCATTTAAGAATTTCTACGTGCTTGCCGACTGTAGACGCGTAAAATACTGTTCATCGTAAACTTCTGAAATTGTTATTCCCAACATGGTAACTGTTGGACAATTTATTTGAAATATTTTTTCAACATATGTAAATAGTTGAATTAAGAAATTTTATATATCACTTTGTGTTTGATATATGAATCACTTTCGTACTTGTCAAATTTTGTGACGAATTAGTCTTTAGCACAACATGAAATTAGAAGGTCATACGATTTAAAAGCTCTTTAGTTTTAGAAAAAACTTTACATAAAAATGCAAAAAGTTTGTACTGATCAAAAAGCTAAGTTGAATACCACATAAACATACAAAGAGTCCATTTCACAATACCTTAAACTATTCTAATACACAAGAGTATGTGGAATGGATACTAAAACGAAAAATAGATTAAACGGCAAGAACTATTGGAACCATTGTAAATAACATTAACTTTTGATTTAGAATTACATTCATTTATTTTTTTGAAATATTGCTGCTCATCTCTCTGTATTTCTTTTCTAATTCAATGCAATTCAGTGATTCATTCAATACCTGATTGCTTATCACAATTTCCTAATATTGAGGGTCAAACAAGTTTGGAATTAACAAATTATCCAAATGGTAAACTATTATCATCTCCTCATCAAGATTCAATGTTTAGTAAATGTTCCAATAAGAATATATCAACAGAATACTGGGATTATAATGATTATAATAATGATAATAATCACATGGATATAAATACAAATAATATGAACAGACATAATGATCTAATGGATAATCAAAAGATTGAAATATATATCCCTTCATGTCAATACATGAAAATGATGGATTTAACAGATGAGACCGATTTAAAATATTCATATGATGCACATTCAAACTATTTTGATGAAACACAACAAAAATTTAGTTTAAAAGCTTATCAGAATGATGGAATTATTCAATAATCAACTATGATATAATCATTCATGTAATCATGATTAACTATACAATAAACGATGTACGTTTAATTTTAATTATTCTCATTATTAGTCATATACAGTAACCCATCCAAGAAAGTTTGCTACAATTTGGCCACATATTTAATTGGTGTGATTGCTCAGTATTATGTTTAAGGAAATCTAATTACCATAAAATATCAATTTTGCTTTGCTTCAGAAATAAAATATGGGTAAAAGTGTATTACACAGACTATTTGGAATTATATCAGAAATAATCTAGGAATATTCACGTCTCTTACTATTCAATGAGTAAAACGATTGTCCAAATCAGAATTCTTTCATTTCAGAAGTGATGATGGTTTTGGGTGACATATTCAGTATTTTAATGTTTATCATATTGCTTTGTCCATGGTGTTCAGATAAAATATGCATCTATTAAAAAGAATATTAGTTTACTCTTGCATTCTTTGTATGGTCATAAGTGCCTCGATAGTCAACTTCTTATATTTTTTTATATTGTTCAGGGACATAATAGAATGTCAACTAAAGAATAAAATAATGTCATCATATGAAAAAAAGATAGTGGTGAAAATATTTGTTTAATCAAGTATTTCTATGACATAAGATCACCTTGTAGTAAATTGGCGTCGTTACAAACTAGATGAACGTTTATTTTGCACAAATGATAATATAACTATTCCACACAACATTTTGTTTCCAGTGAAATAACTGCCAGATTTAACATACTTAACATATAATTTCCAGAGCGATTTCCATGTATTAACTAACAACAGATTCACTTACTTTTACATCTATGTTTTCAGATGAAAACAAAGACAAACAAACAAACTGAAAGGAACACTATATTCATTGACTTAATATTGAAGTGAGTTTTCAACAACATTTTGTTGAACTTACCAACAGTTAAAACATATCTGATGAACATTATGATTGAACAAGTCTGCGATTTACGTCTTGATTTCTATTCAACCTACTTTCTTTTAAAATATTCCCCCCCCCCAAGATTTATGACTGTAAGTTTATTTTGTATAATAATATAATCGTCTTGGTAACAAAAGTAACATAATAGTTTCTTTTTTTTTGAAGCATATTGTAACAGTCAAACATAGTTTTTATAATCAGAAAAAAAACTAGGGAATAAATCAGAATGTGGTTAAAACAAACCATCTATGTAAATTGATTTAATTAGTGTATAATCAGACATTTGAATTTATCATCATTTGACATGATACTTTCATATATCTAATGAAAAACTAGACGTTTAAATTATTTCTGAAGAGAACAAAAAAAAAATACAAAAAAAACTTTTTATGTAGTAGAAAATCGAATATATGAAGGTGAAAAACTAGTTTTTTTTCTAGAAAAAATAATAATACATATTCACAGTAAACAGATATTCCCATGTAAAATGACAGTACAACTCTTAAAGCACAATTGAATCGAATATAATATAAAGAGTTATCTTAAATACTATATCTATGATTTGTAATAATAACAGATAAAGCTGAATTGTATCATTCATAGTATGAATGATGAAGACAACAAATATAAAAAAATAGAAAGGTTTTAGTAAGTGAAAAACGTTTTGTACTATGAAACAATGTTGAAAGGAAGAAAGAAAGAAAGAAAAAAAAACAAGTTTTCATTGATTATTGAAATGCTTATGACATGTATAATTGTGTGATGAGATTATAATTTATGGACGAACCAATCAGGTATAAGATAATAAGTCTTGGATTTTGGCGTGAAGTTCACTCATCTATTTGGTTAAATATAGTTTTGGTATTATAGTTGATATTAGTTTGTGATGAAAACTTTAAATGTAATTGCTAGCCCTAATCATCAACTGTTAATCATAATTCTAATTCCTTACATTGGTTTATAACCGTCATTTGATCCTAGTTGTTAGGCAGGCACTCTCAAGGTCATGTTAGCGTCACTCAAAGGTTGTCCACAAATTATGGTCTCACTGTAAGATCCAAACTAAGGTTTGAACTGAAGAATAGCTGTCTAGATGGGTTAGATACGCGCCCTTGCCCGGTTGAAGCCGAAACAAAGTAACTGGGTAAAATGACGGTGTACTATTCTGGATCAAAACAACATCTATACTGTTTTCTTTAGTTTCCAGATTAATTTTTATTGAGAGTAATTGATCAGGCGAATTAGTGTGATTTGGATAGAATTTATTAATATCTAATCAAGATGGTTGTTTACCAGAAGGCAGTACGAAACCAGATTTGTTATTTAACGATTCAATCACACCTAATTGGTCCTGATTTTGAGGATCACTGTCACTTAATTTGATTGGCATGATAGACCAATTTCGATTACGAATTTTCATACGTGACCTATTAGAACCGAAATTTTCACAATCCTGTAGACTAATAACAAGCCCCGGTGGGACACGGACAGCTTCACGTATATTTGTAGAAAGATTATTCCAAGATGTCCAATTTTCATCAACTGTACTCTCATTTTTCAATTGAATGATATCACTGATCAATCCATGTGATTGTCGACCGATTAAACGAAGGCGACAAAAGTAACCCGTTACATCATCTAGTTCAAGTGCACATTGTGTATGATACATATATTTACTGAGTAGAATAAAACACATCGGAGAAATATCCACAAGTTTTTAAAGACTTTTTTTAGATAGATCATTTAATCCCATTGAATAATTTAAGTGAAGATGGTTGCATTTTTGGAGTTTTGGCTTTAGTTAATATATTCCAGAAGCGAAGTGTTTCATCTCCTGCACCATTTACTATTTTCTCACTATCTGGACTGATTGCTAGGTACAGCACATGATATGAATGCCCAACCAACTTGACTCATTGTGTTAGACTAGGATATATCCAAACAAGAATTTGGTTCTATGATTAACCATGTGTACTGGCCAATTCGTACTATGTATGGACCAGGCAATATTACAAATCTGACTTCCAGTATCCACGCTACGTAAAGCCTGACCAGTTAATCTATTCCAAAATCGAATACAACGATCAGCTGTACCACCTCCACTTGCGAGTAATCCATGTTGTTCCATAGAATATAGAAGGATTAATCAAGAGTAAAAGTTTGTTTATGATTGAAAAGATTATTCAATTGTTTATATGCTTATTTCAATGATTACAATCTCTATGAATGCTATTTGAAATAAATATTTCAATTAAATTTCAGGTCTCATTTGGATATGTGTATTCTACAAAATATGATGAAATGAACTATACATATTAAATAACATTACTTAACATACCAGAAGAAGAATATGAATTGGCAAGTATTTTCTTTGCTTATCCATTAATGTAATACTTCTATAATTCTACACAATCTTACTTAAACCTCATGCTAACAGATATACATATATATTTTCTCAAAAGATAATCTCAGTATACTATTTATGTGTAAAGCCATTATACAATTTCCCAGTGGTTTCTTAAATATTATTAAAGACATCACACTTAGCAACTGTATAATTTTGATTTGGATATATACCTAACTGTAAATAACAATACAAATAAGACACTGAAACTTGCGTTATTCATATATTTCCCATGTACATGGTTTTTTTGTAATTTTCATATAATTACCTTTAAAAAATACATCATATTTCCTCCATAATGTATGTTTCTTTTTAATTAAAATTGCGGTGTTGTAGAGTCTAAAGGTAGTTTTCAACAACTGTATTATGGGTAGTAGATTTTTGTTTCCTTTATAAGAACCTTAGATTAAAAATGATCATAAGACAAAAGTGAACTTGAATTTTCTCAATACTTGTTCGAATTAAAACTAATTTAAATGATATTTCTTTCTAAATTTCAATATCATTAGCGATAACATACTTGAATTAAATTTTATCTTATAACTGAGAATAAAATTCATTCAATAAACCATTGTTCATTTCACTCGACCACTGTGATTTCTTGTGTTCAGATGTTAAAAAGTAAGTACAACCAACAGAATTTAACATTAAAGTTCTTTTAAGTGTTTAGTAACAGAATGTTCTAAGAAAACCGGACAATATTGAAGAGAGAGAAGTGCATGTATATGCAAAAACGTTAGATCGAGAACATGATTAGAATTAACCAAGTATTTAAAGTTCTAAATTGAATTCAAAGCTAATGAAAATGTATTTGGATATTTATCTATAAGCGATTAACTATCATGACTAACCTTATATTGAGTAAAATATCTTCATAAGAAAGCTCAATACTAAATAATAAGTGGAGATATTTTTATGTAGAATAAAGCATATTTCAGGAATATTAAAAAAGAACATTTTCTTAGAATAGATGCGTGCAAAAAGATTAAGATTTCCTACGCACGTTATACTACAACATACTAATTATTCATGCAAACGTGAGGGAAGTTTTTCTAGTGAATCATTCACATATATAGTAGTTAAAATGTAAATGATATAAGAAATTTATAATGTTCAGTATTTTACAACTTATATTTCATTAAGGGTAAAAGTATGTATTATCCGAATATGCATTTATGTATATGTTCACTCATAAATGTTTAAGCTCAGCAATAAACATTGATCAGTTTAGTGGTTGTGAAAATTGTTAAGTTTTTGATTAAGATCGTGAACCGATTGATGTTAGACCACCATTGAAAACCTGGAAGCACTAGACGGCCGTTTCGTCGTATTGTGGGACTCCTCAGTAGTGCGCATCCACAGCCGTCCAGTGCTTCCAAGTTTTCAATGGTGGTCAAACATCAATCGATTTATATTCTCAATAATAAACTTTGACTTAAATAGATGTTTTGTTACATAGCCAACAAGAACATCGTGAAGTGCAACGTTACAGTATGCTTTCATGAAATATGAAAACCTAACATTAACTACATAATTCACACATTTTTTTCATCAATTGTTCATTAAATGCTTCATGATTCTATCTGTTCTTTCTCTTCGATTGAATCTTCTCAATTTTCTGTTGTTATACATACAACTTAGATCTGTCAATCAACATAAGTCGAATACACTACAGTTAGAACTAGTATCAAGAAATATTTAAGCATTTTGAAGTATTTCATATCAACATCTTGAAATTGTCTAATATTACATTCCTGTTAACATATAAATAAAGTCAATGTATATTTTACCTCATATTGTATATCAATTTGATGACGTGAATTAAAAGAATGAACAACAGCAATAACAACAAGGACAACGACAACAATAACTAAGTTCTGTCGAATTTTACATGAAATTACAAACTACCTTTTTATAATACGTGTAAAAATGTCAATTTGTTTCATTAGATACAAACATAATTGTTTTTTCTAAAAAAAAAACAACCAAAAACAAAAAAATTGTCAAACAATCCAAATTGTCAAATTTATTTTAAAGTTTACTTTTTAAAATGTATGACGCTGGTGAAATTCCACTACATTGATTATTGAATGATCATTCAAGTGGTATAAAGTGAATACATATATAATGATAATTTAATTTTCCCATAATGTTATATGAGTTATCATAGGAAAGATCTATTCATAAAGTCATCCAAAGGCATGTATATTTTAAATGTTTAAGTTATATTGAAAACATTTAGTTGTATAAACTTTTTGGTTGAAATCAAGAAGTACTATTGAATACCGGGAAGCACTGGATGACCGGTTTGTCCTATTGTGGGACTCTTCAGCAATGCAAATCTATGATCCTACTCACAGGATTCAAACCAAAGGTCTTCGATCTTGCGCGCGAGCGCTTATCCTCTAGACTAGTGAACTGGCATCCTAGCTTACCAAACTAAATGAAAGATGCATATACTTTTATGATAGACTATCATGATAAAAGCAATTTAGGAGTTACTTTGTCATCTGTTTTCATATTTTACGTAGATTAATTTTGAAATGATAAAAGGTAAAACGAAATTTGTGAATTAAAGAATCATGTTATTTTTCGTTTATTGAAACACTGATACATATGGGTTACGCATAAATAAATGTGGGACATATAAACGGTTCATATATTATTTTCTTTGTTCTTATGAAACAAATCTTTGAATACCTTATCTATTCAGTATCAGCATTTCAATTCAAATATTATCACTATCAAGTTTTTGTTGTAGATCACCAATGTAGATGATCTATGTCGAAATGATTGGAGGCCTACTCGAGTTAGATGTGAATGGTGTGACAAGCTAGCTAATGTCGAAGTCACACCTTGTGGTCAGCACCTTACGTGAACTACCCCATTGACTTATCAAGGTACCATAGATGCTTTGAAGACTGTACAACACAGAGGACGTTATTACAGAAATATATTAGTTAAGGTAGATACAAGCGAAAGTAAGACCACTGCCGCATGGTCCAGTCCACTGGCATATGATTAACTAATGCGCGTTGATTGTACATGACCTTGGCAGGGAGCGATGACCTGTTCGACATTCAGTGATCCAACTGCCGGATGATTTGGCTACGGCTCAGTGACATTTCACTGGCCCTAGATTGTATTAAAAATTGTAATTTAAAAATCGATTTATTCTAGTTTGCTTACTTTTCATAACAAACCTATATTACTGTGGGTTTTTTTGTACTTGAGTATTAGCCTCATGAAACATTTTTAGCGGTTATTATCATATGTAGACAAAGATGATGAATGAATATGAAAGAATAAAAAAGCGGTGAATTATCTTTGAATGTTGGGAGTTATGCAATGATTTATTTGAATAGATCTAAATATGTTTACCAGAAGGCAGAATGTGTGCTTCTGGTAATATTTGATGTCAGTTTAGAATCTAATATGGTTCAAAAGTACAAAACAGAAATAAATAAGTTGTAGTATTCATGAATTACTATCTTTTTTAGTTGAAGTCATAGAATATTGATCTTCCTGATGTATATATATATGGATCAAACCATATCTTAGGTCATGTACAATTATAGGTAATTTCCACGAAATCTCTCAACTGAAGTCTAATCACGTATTCACTAAAAACTTGCTTCGGGATGAATTTTCATAATTCTAAAAGCAATTCATATCTGATGCGATTCAGCCCTATTAGGAATAAAACTGTCACTATTAGGAGAATGGTATACTACAAAGGCCGGATAGATTATAACCTGTTCAGTAACAACTGGTGAGTAAGAAGCTCGAGTGTGGAAGTATTTAGGTCGACCAAGCGGATTAATTTGTTTGAATGGCTGCCAAATTATCCACTTCTGGTTAAGACTAATATTATATATTCTCATAATTTGTATTTACATTAACTTAGTCTTTAGAAATGAAACTTTCTGTTCCAAATTAGCTGTAATATTCAGTAACGCTGGTTAAGCCAGTGTTTAAAAATATATTTCATGATTGAATCGAACTGTTATGATCTAAATTTGTACTGTTTCTAAAATGTTAACCATCGAATCTTAAATCATATATGCAGTTCTTTGTTCATCTTTTTCTACAAACTATAACATATTGATGGATAGTGGCTAGTGGTGGAATCCAAGACGCGCGTTTCGTCCTATTTGGGACTCGTCAGCTGGATGTACCTGTATCTCAGAGTTAATGTTCACTCTGGACTCGAACCCAGTATCATTCACTTCAAACGCCATCCATCATTGTTTACAAAAACCTCGTGAATTAAGACAATATTGAGGCATACTCATAG